TGTGTGTGTGTGTGTGTGTGTGTGTGTGTGTGTGTGTGTGTGTGTGTGTGTGTGTGTGTGTGTGTGTGTGTGTGTGGGCCTATGCTTGCACTGGGACACATGTGGAAGCTAAGAGAAATGTAGTGTAAACCACGTGTTTTTACTGTACAGCTACTCTGTTATTATCACAGGGCCAAGAGATGGGATGTCAGGCAGTGGGGCAGCAGCTCCTCCACAACTCAGCGAGGGTGTGTTTGCATGTGTGTGCACTTTCATGATTAGAGTGGAGGCCTGATCACAGCCACAGCATGCTGTTATTTCAATGTCCTGTCTTAGTTTTGTTTTTTACAAGCTGAATATGGCAACAAAATACAACTGAACAAACACAACAAACACTAGTATTTATTTTATTAGGACATTTTAGGTTTTTGGATAAACTCAGTTGATAATTAATGTTTCAAATACACTATGCAAATTATTTATTACATTTAGGACAACATGAATAGCACAGAATGACACTTTCTGGCCAAAGTGGGATAAAGGAAGTTGTAACCTGTTTAACATCCATATATAGAATTGGGGAAAAGGCTAGTCGGATGATTGCTCGTTTTCTTGTGATCGAGATGGAAACGGTTGGAGAGCTTGGTTTTCAGTCTCTGGAGCTTATCCCGGGCTGACCCAGACCTGGAGCTGATGACAAATCAACTGTGAAGCAAGTCAGTCCTGATCCGGACCAATCCTAATAACAGTTCTGGTCCAGACCAAAGGCATTACCATCCTGGCTATGCTGCTGTGGAAAGACATAACCTGACACATGACTCAGAGCACCACACACGGATGCTTCTCTGGCCTGCACCGCGTGTACATCTGTGTGTGTGGTGTCTGGATACAGCAAGAGGAAAATATGAGATCTGTAATAGGCACTATTGAGCTCGAAATTGGCTGTTTTCCCAAAGAAGATCAACTGATGCACAAAACCTACTTATGACCTGCAGTTTTAAGTTATAAACATGTGCATGCTCACACACGTTCACAAGATGTTTAATTTAAGTCTTTGAAGTTATGTCAGCAAAGTTTATATGTGTCTCAGTTTTGCTCAGATAAAAACAGGAAAAATAACGATACATTGTAATCACACACACAAATTGAAAAAACGGGGCCCCAAAAGAGCATAGGACTTGAGAATATTTTTAGAGCATTTATGATAAAAAGTGGAAAAAGGCTTATCATGTGTATTGTGTCTTGTGGCTTGTGTACTGGTACTCTCTCAGATTTGTGCATTCTTTTTTCTTCATGTTCCTGTACCTTCTGCCTATTATTCTGAAGTATGCGGTGTGCAGCACCCGTGGTAAGCATGAGATCTCCACTAAAAGAAAAGCTAAAACCACGGCAACAGACTTGGCTAAAACCAATTATTCATTCTTCACTTTGCTCTCTCCCACCTTGTTTCAAGTATTGTTTTATCTTAAGTTGTTTTTCCTTACTTCTTTATTTCTCCCTTTTTAATTTTGTTTAAATGCGTCTATGTGTCAGTCCTGTTATTTTTGTGGATGAAATAGCTGTCCTTGAGCCTGAGGACAGTCAAAGCTATGGAGGTTGGGAAGGAAGGAGACATTCAAATTAAAGTAGAGGAATGTGCCGTTAAAAATCTTCAGAACCGGCTTAGCTCTGAAAGTCTGGCTATAAGGAGAGAGACAAAGAGACAGAGAGAATGAGGGAATGAGGGAATGAGGGAGAAGGCCACATAGATGGTGAGGAAAGAGAATTTGAGATAATAGAGGAAGAGCTGTCCGAGGTGCCTCGAGACAGCCAGATACCAACTGGCCTTCATAAAAGGATTTGTGTCTCACACAGAGTTTTAAAGGAGTTGTTTTTGTTTCTTCCTGTGTTCTTCTGTGTTGTGTTTTTTGGATCGAGTGTGATTTTTATTAGATTTCTTTGGTTTAATGCTCAAGCCTAAAGTTTGACACTTTTTATGATAAGAAGACAAGTATATTTTGGAAGACTTTTAACACTCTAAAGGCAATAGCTTCACCCAATGTATGCCGTAGCAATCTTAGTCACTTTCTATTCTCTTTTTCTTTTTATATTTAACTTCCATCAAGTCACTTGAAGCAGGCAGGGTTGTAGTATGTGTGGAGAGTTTTGGGAATACAAATCCAAAACAGGAAAATGTAAAAACTCCATTGGAATAGAAAATATCTCAGTTAAATTATATTAGGGTTAAAAGATCAGGTTATATTCAGAAGGGAGTGTTTTTTTCACAATTTCAAGTAGTTATGTCTGTGCCTATCTGTTCACTAGCTTGGGAGTGTAATTCATTCTTTTGTTTGGTGTTATTTAGATCTACATTTAATAAGGACATTTTGAAATAAGTTTAGCATAGTTATTCTTTATCTTGGTCTATTTGTTTTGGGGTTTACATACAGTATACAGTTGGAAGAAAAAGTATGTGAACCCTTTGGAACTACCTGGATTTCTGCATAAATTGGTCATAAAATGTGTTCTGATCTTCATCTAACTCACAACAATAGACAAACACAGTCTGCTTAAGCTAAAACCACACAAACAATTATATGTTTTTCTTGAACACACCATGTAAACATTCACAGTGCAGGGTGGAAAAAGTATGTGAACCCTTGGATTTCATAACTGGTTGACCCTCCTTTGGCAGCAATAACCTCAACCAAACGTTTCCTATAGTTGCATATCAGACCTGCACAACGGTCAGGAGGAATTTTGGACCATTCCTCTTTACAAGACTGTTTCAGTTCAGCAATATTCTTGGGATGTCTGGTGTGAATCGCTCTCTTGAGGTCATGCCACAGCATCTCAATTGGGTTGAGGTCAGGACTCTGACTGGGCCACTCCAGAAGGCGTATTTTCTTCTGTTGAAGCCATTCTGTTGTTGATTTACTTCTGTGCTTTGGGTCGTTGTCCTGTTGCATCACCCATTTTCTGTTAAGCTTCAATTGGTGGACAGATGGCTTTAAGTTCTCCAGCAAAATGTCTTGATAAACTTGAGAATTCATTTTTCCGTCGATGATGGCAATCTGTCCAGGCCCTGAGGCAGCAAAGCAGCCCCAAACCATAAGGCTCCCTCCACCATACTTCACAGTTGGGATTTGGTTTTGATGTTGGTGTGCTGTGCCT